ACATCCTTGCCTGAATGTAAAATACACTGCCATAGCTACCCCAGTGCAAACTCCTAGCCTGGCACTGCTGTAAGGATTCAGATATGTCTGGGCTGTCTGGTTTGTGAGGCGATTAGGTAAGAAGAAAATGAAGAAATGCAGAAACAACAACAAACAGGAGAAGACACTGACTAATCACAGCAGCAAAAACAACGAAAACAAATGTTTCATCAATAAATTCCTGAACCCTGAGGAATTACGTGGGTCAATGAAATAGTAGCAAGTCTGCAGATGCTTGCGGTTTGTCAAGCTGACTATGCCGTGAGACTTTATACCAACAAACTATTGGCTTAGGTGCCTTCACAAAACCTGGCCAACATCAATACTTAATACTTGAGAAGTCAGAAAACTTTGCATTCCCAATTTTTTTGGTACAAAATTATATCAGTAGTGTTCTGTCTTGGCTTCAGTGCAACCATTTACTGTATCTGCTGCATTAGTTTTTCCCAGTGGTTGGATAACGTCAGAGAAACAAAGTGTCTGACGCTGCAGGAAAGTTGTCAACGCTGATTCGCAGCCATGGAGCCGTGAGGCCATTAACCCCTCTGTCTGCCCGCTCCCTTGGTAACAATAGACAGCACACAACTCAGGTTCGTCACACCAAACCAGATACATAGGAAAGTCTAATGTTCATTTGATGACTTGGCTAAACACACCATGTTTATACTTCCTTCCCCTGTTGCTAGGCCTCACCTTGAATGCACTTCTCTGCTGCTTTTCCAGCTCCGAGGTGCCTTTATTAACATTAATCACCCCTCCCTTTAACCAAATTGGGGGGCTGTTAATCTAAGTGTATTTTAATGGAACACTTCAGAAGCAACTCCCTCAATTACATCAACTCTTTCCAGCGTGGTCTTATTAAAAACAACCTTTCATTTAGAGGGGGGGGGGGCACGCACAGACAGAGCGAGAAACAGAGAGAATTAAGGGAGCCTCGGCTAATCAGTTTCACCTGCCAAAGTGAAAGCGTACACCACAGACTGCTGTTTAAAAGTATATTTTATATCGGACACATGGCTCTATTTATAAAACATTAGGCTACAATTTAACATTATGGGCGCTTATCCTGTGTTTGGGGGAAAATTCAGGGGCCTCCCTGGCTGTGCGTTGCTAAGTGACCTCGTTGAAGTCGTGGAGGTTAAGCTCACTCAGCCTCTCAGTCTGTTTGAATGAATTTCCTCACAACGACTCACAGAAACAACCGCCCACAATCAAAGACAGCGCTTCAGAAGCCGGGTAGCCTGCACATCTGCCCACCTTTGAGAGTCTAAACAAGAGTTGGACACCGCCGGAGCTTTGAATGAGCTGATACCATGGAGATCTGGCTGCGTGTAGGATGTATTTGTAATTGTGCTGGAGGAAGAAAAACATAAAGGCGATTTGGAAGAAATCTCAGCTCTCTTTGAAAAAAAAAAAAAATGTGTGAAGGAAATTCTCTGGAGAGATAGGATTACCTTTGTTTTGGTTTTGTGTGGAGAGAAGAATAAAAAGAAGAATAAAAATGCAGCTCTCTATCATGTGTATCATTCTCAGCGGAACACAACAGCCAGACACAGTTAAAGACGAGCGAACACAGTGGAGCATTTAGCAGCTAGAGGTGTCAGAGGTTGGTGGCTCCGTTACTGCTGTTTGTGTAAATAAGAGAGTACTTGTGAACAGGTCATCTTAAAAGCTAAGGATGCATTAGTGTTGTGTTGAGAAAGCAGCGTTTGACAGCAATGGCCACATTACGGCACCTTTCACACATTGCTTGTAACGCAGGGCCAGTGTACGGTTGTTGAGATGTGACGTTCTGGAAAGAGAAGTAATAAGTCTGGTAGCTTTTTAGAGAGTTAACGGTGGAGTTAACAGCTGATTCTAATCCAATACACTTTTTTTCCAGTTCAGTAGCTGTCTGTTCTTTGTGTGTTGTTAAAAAAAAAAAAACCTGGTGTTTACGCACAGCCCTGGCTTTGTAAACGGGAAACAGAAAAAGTGGCTTGGACTGAGCCACCTAACACTGTTCAAGCCAATCAACCGAGATGGTGAATCTGGCCCATGCAAACAGAGAGTACCAGTTTAAGGATGTGTGGAGTTCAGAATGACTGGAAGGGACCGGCAGCGATGTGCATAGAAAGGAAGTCGACCTTTGGAGGCTTGAGGGCGCATATACTGCGTCAAAGAGAGCCGAGGAAGAGCCAGCCAAAGAGAAGAGGAAAATGGAAAAGAAGGAACTACTATAGGCCAGAATTTGACATTAGTTTTGGGGCCTCCCTGGCTGTGCGTTGCTTAACAGCCTGGCTGATGTCGGTGAGGTGAAGCTCACTCAGGTTTGACTCCATCATCCCTTTTGCTGCACATCATTTTATTTCTCTTCCCTAACTTTCCTGCCTCACTCCACTTTCCTTACCATAATAAAAGCAACAAACCCCAATAGGTTTTGTCCAGTTTGCTAATGTTAAGTGATGGTTAACACCAAATTGTTAGTTAGCAAGCAGGCGCAGGTGCATGTGTCTGTAACATGGAATTACTTCCCCATGTGTTTTCATTTCTAGTCAGTGGTGGTTTTTGTCTAGTACTTCCCCCCCGTTACTGTTTCGAATTATAAAAGTAATAGGAAAGAAGTAATTGTCTTTCAGTAGTTCGCTGCTGATGCTCGGCCAAACAAAGCAATAGTAACATTATTGTGTCTCAGTTAAACAGCAACATTAAAGTAAGAGGAACAGTGAGAGTCAGGCAGTGGTGTGCAGGTGTGCTCTGTATCAGATAGCGCTGTGCTACTTCACACAGTAGTTCAGGATAACTCTGGTGATATTCTATCCTTTTGCTATGGAAAATGAAACCCAGCCATCTCTCCGTACCTTCTGACCCGTCTGTAGCACTCAGCCTTGAGCCCATTCATTCCTACTGAAGACATAAATCTTTTGAAATGGGTCACAAATAGATACTTTCATTTTTTAATTGATTTCCTTTTGGAAACACATGTAAGACGGAGTAATGTTGCTGTTTTCACCGGATTTATTGAATAAGAGAAAAATGTAGAAAATGCTTTATACTTCAACCTCAACAGGCAGTTTTAATGATTTACCGAGTTATGAATTGATCGGCACAATTGATTATATGTCTGTGACAAACAGCTGGACTCTGAGTGAGGTCTGTAAATCATTGTTAGTATTGGAGCAGTTGGTCACAGGCAGTAGGGGGTAAGTAGTCACTAATGGAGCGTATCTGTAACCTCCGTCCCGTCCAAATCTGCCATATGTTTAATTTTTATGAAGTGCAAACAGCTTAATCAGTGTCTGGGCTTTCCAACATATTTGAAATTGCAGGGGACTATTTCAGTTTTTTTTTAAGGACCATTTGCTGAAACTCGAAAGTGTTGTTCACACTAAACTGTGATCCAACCCAGGCTCTTGTTGCCACTTAAATCTCGAAGCCAGGCTGTGATGTTATTGTCTGTGAACGTTTAGACAGATTGCATTTTGTTAGTGGGAGGGCGGCTCATGAACTGCAAACACGTCTCTGCAGTCTTAAGGTATTGTGTATCATGTATTATGTAAAAGTCTGATTCAGGACAGACCCACACGGTTCGATACGATGTTGCATCCATCTGATAAATTGCTCATCAAGCTACAGTTGATGAGCAATTTGCTTGAAGGAATGCACATTTCTGATTTGAGCTTAGACATCAGGAATGTGGGTATTGTTGTTTGACAGACTCACTGTATTTGTCATTTTCCTTTCTCATCTACAGCAGCATCAAACAAAGGGGCCTGTTGCTAAGGTGCACAACAAAACCGTTTACAGAAAATGAGGGTTCTTTTATTGATTTGCTTTAAAAACTCTGACGCCCTGTCGACAGTAATACAGATACTCTGCAAAACTTTTCCCTCTGAGTTTGAGTCCACGTACAAACAATGTTTTAAGTCACTCAAACGGAGATTTTTTACAAACCTCTTCCAAAAGCTGTGAAACTGTTTTTGGGAAATGATTACGTCACAGCTTTCTTCGCCCATGCCCACTATTGCTTTGTGTAGTGAGCTTGCACCAGAAAAAACACTGGTGGAGATGTAGTTGCTAAAATGTGACGTGTGATGTTTCCCGTCTGTCTGCTTCTCTTTCCGGGTCCAAGCTCTGGTATTTACAAGATGGCACAGTGCTGTGTCCCTTGCTGTAATTGTGGATCTCAAATAGATTTAAAGGTTCAGTGTGTAGAATGAAGAGACATCTAGAGGTGACATTGCATGTTGCAGCTGAATACTCTTTATCTCACTCTCCCCTTCCAAACAAGAGAAAGAACCTGTGGTGACTCAAAAGGTTTTAGTTTGTCCGGTTTGGACGACAGCAAAAAACATGGCGACCTCCACAGAGAGGACCCCCCTCTGTATAAATATAAAGTTTTTAAATATAAAGGGCCATTCTAGGGTAAAAAAAACAACACTTCGTACAATTTAGTTCAAACACACTAGTGAAAACATCACTAGGATTATTTTATATTCAATTTCTGCCCAAAAATCCCTTTCACCTAGATCTTACACACTGAACCTTTAATGGGATGTGAAGTTAGTTTGTCATTTGGATGGCACAATAAGTCTAGCGAGGTGTGCTCCTGATTGGCTGCAAAAAACGACTTCTTCTGTACTTTGTTTTACCCTTATCGTGAAAAAGATGTGATGTTTAATAAAATCACATTGTTGTTTGCTTGCAACTTGAAGGTTTGGGTCCGTTACGAACATTACATAACACAACATCACACTTCACAATTAGATGTACCAGTTGACCGGAGAATAAGCTGAATAAACAAGTTCACAATGTCTCTGGTATTTGATGGACTGCTGATGTAGACTTTATCGCCACCTCTGGCCTGGCATGCTTGTTTGAGTGTTTGATGTCATTTTTGTGTTCTCGTCTAAACAGAGATTTTCTTTTTGTCAAGTTTTTGTCAAATCTGAGCAGAAAATGGAGTTGAATGATAACTGTACCTGGGTCCCAGCTCATCCTCGCACCTCCAGGTGAATTCTCCGAAACTCTCGTAGCGCTGGTTGTAGTGGTAGAGCACGCGGTGCAGCGTGGGGGCGCCCAGGTCCATCAGAGTGTTGTAGGCCGTCTGCTGCTCCTTCCCGCTGGTGTAGCCGTTGAACAGGTTATAGATCTTGTCGGCTATTTCTGGAAGAATAAAGATAATCAGAGGTCAGCGACTTAAAGCATAGCTTACTTCCTCACGGAAGCTGCAGATGACAGTGCGTATGAAGTAATGTTGGATGTCAGTAAACAGCTTACTCATATTTAACCAAACTGGTCTGTTTGTGCTACTTGATACCAAACAATCCTCCAGGGAAGAGGAAGGAAGAACATCTGATGTTGGTGACTCAGCTTTCTTTGGACAGGACAATACTTTGCTGCTATTTTGGAGACGCTGTTTAGACTTGATGTGCTTCTTCCCCTGGGTGGAGAATGTTTCTGTCCACTAATACTCTGCATCATAATTTCTGTCCATAAATAGTGTAAATCATCCCTGTAGCCAGAGAACACATAGTTCCCTGATGGGCATCTGGTTTTCTTAGCCCATGTTTTTGCAATAAATAAGAAAAGGGAGAATAATAGAAATATTGTCAATCTGAGGAAAAAACTCTTTTGTAAAAGGGACTTGCATACACTTACTGTAAAAACTGTTTGTCCTTGAGGTTGCAGTGCACAGCTCTAGCAATATTGTAGTTGGTTATTTATCACATTAAGAAATTCAAATAACCAATTATATTTTCCTTAAGAAATAAATCCCATGAAGAAACATGGAAACATATTTGTCACGCATGTAAGTAGTTGTGGCGCATGTAAAAAAAATGTCTTTTCTGTATCAGTATCACCTCAATGTTCCATGTTGAAAAGTGAATCTCTGTGAGCCACCTGCGACCAGGACTGGCAGATGAGTCACCTCTCTGACTTTAGTCTGCGTCTCCTTCCTCACCTTGTGCTTTGACGTCATCCACAGTTGGACACGGAGTTTTGATGGTGACCTCACTTGGACTGGAACGGCGCCCTGTGTTGTCTACTGCCCACAGCCGGAACCTGCACACATTAACACACAGATACACACACACACACACACACGGCTGAGTTTTATCAGATGTAAATCAAATCCACTGCGGATCGTGAGTGATAAAGTGTTTTTCAGTAAGAATTTCTCTTGAAAGCGAAACCCAGTCACTTGTTTGTGCAGTGATGGAGTTTGATGAATCTGCTGAAGCAACATTACATCAGCAGCAGCAGACATCTGACAGCTGCCTGTGGTTCCTGCTGCTGTGAATTCAATTTGAAGAGTCCCCTCGGTGCAGATGAGAGCCTGCGTTATCAATACAGAGCTTTCACTGACAGGAACATCTTCACAGAGCTCAGCTGTCATTTCACTGAAGGGATATCCCCACCTAGTGGCCACACAGGAACTTGCAGTGTCCTGCAGCATCAAGGAATGAGGCAGCCACTCATTCGGTGGTGAGAGAACACTTCAGTGACAAGAAAGACGTTCAAGCTACAAACTTTAAAACATTTGAACCTTTTCAAACTAAACTGATGTGAACTATATTAATTTTCAATCTATTCTATCTATTGATTTATATATTAATCTGTCTAATTTATTATAGCTTTTGAAGAAATGTAGTATTTTTAAAGAAATTGCACTTTTAGTGTTTGTCATGCAAATATTGTATTGTCTTGTTTTGCATTGTTTTTGTATTGCATTGAATATACTGTATTGCATTGTAACACATCTTAAAAGGCTTCACCTAGATGCAAATGTAGACTATGGGTTTCATGTTTTGTTAGCAAATTAGCACATGTGACACTATCCCTACAGAATACATTTAAATCTCAAGCTTAATACGGGCTCTGTGTTGTGTAGAAAATAAAAGGGCTGTGCACTGCTCTGCAGGGAGAGATGAGGCCTCAGCTCACAGAGATGAATGGGCTGCCATGCAGGATAGAGAGAGCAGAAGCCCCAGTGATACTGGGATTAAAAGGGCATGTGTAGCCACTCACTCAGCCCACATACATCAAAACTGTTTGGAGAGGCTCTATCCTCGGGCCGCTTGCCCCCTTTTTTAATATTTGCTTCATACACTCTCTGTGCCTCGCTCTTGATCTTTCTCTTCCCTCCTTTTCTTTTCTTTGTCTCTTCCAAACTTTCTTTAGCTGTCTTCTGCTTTTCTTTCTCCACGCTACCTTTCTCTTCCTCCTCTCCGCTCGAGCTTCACTTCTGGCAAGCTGTAGGTGAGATAAGTGTCTGCATGTGTATGAGAGCATCCGGTGTGTGCGTGCATGTGTGTGTGGGCTTGAACTGCGTCTTGTTCACTGAATCACATTGTTAAACTTATTTTCTCTGCAGACTCATACACAGAACTATTTGGATGTAGCAGGGACTGAAACCTACCTTTTTCTAGTTTTATTTTTATGTCATCGTAAGAACCAAACCTTATTCTAGAGTAAAATTATTATTTCAGCCATGATCTATATAAGAAAAATTCTCCAGTATCTAAACACAAATGACTCTTCACTTTATACTAGACCAAAAACTGACCTTCACTGTAACTCCTACTATTTCTGTACTTATGGAAGAGATGAACTAACAGCATACAGGTTTCTGACAGGAGATGAAATGTGTGCAACGTGAGACATCAGTTAACCTGTGACTTTGAAATTATATTTAAACTTCGCAAGGAGAAAATCAAGTTTAAAAAAATATAATTTTCAAGCTGTGAAGAGCTCCTTCATTTTATTTGTGCATTGCATTGTGGGATGAAAGCATCCATTGAAAGTACATTCAAAAGTTCTATGAATAACTTTTCCACAGTGAACAGATATTAGTATGTATTGTGAAAATGGGACAACATTTCTGACTGCACCAACACAAACATGACAACAGTACAGAAACGTCTATTCGTAGAGATTTGGACTGATGTCCAGTAGCTGGTTGAATTATCAGGTTGTTTAGTTTTCATGTTCGTGGAGAAAAACAAAGTAACTTACATGTACGTGGTGTCAGGTTCCAGGCAGCGAATGATCATACTGACTGAAGAGGACAGCAGGTTGGGGATGTCCCCTAACATCACACATGGAGACCTGGCCCCAGACAAGATGTCGTCCACAAAGCTCAGCAAGGTTTCTGCAGCAGAGAAAATAACAGTGGGACGCTCCCATTGAGAAGGTACAAATAATATAACATAATTGTTCATTTATATTTCAAGAAAATTCAACTGGAGGTTAATGAAATCAAAAGTTCAGGGTTGTAAAACAATCATAATTTTTATTATGATAAAATAAATAGTGATTTGACCTTGCATGGACTGTTTTCAGTGTTTTCTAAAGAGGAACTTTACACTGATAAAAAATGCCATTTGAATCAGGCTTCTGCTGTTTACCAAATCAGACGGTTGGGCAACTGTTCTGAAAAAACAAACAGACATTTTAACAAATTCAAAGTTAAGCTTTTAAACTACTCTGAACTAAGGTGAGTATAGTTGCTCTAAACTTCACCCGCGGGAGCTGAAGTATGTAAAGCACAGGCACATGTCTGTTATTTGAAAGGGCTGATAAAAATAACATTAGTTATGGCTCTGTGCTCCGTAAACAGACATCTCACCAAAATGCAAAACAGATGAGCATTGCTTTGCTCTACCACAAAACACACTAAGTACATTACATGTACGGCCTGTCCATGAAACATCAACTGCTGTTTTAATGAGTTCCGGTGGTGACGTTGAAACGTAAATAGATCTTATTATTCTCTTTCTTGAGGAAGACAGTCAGTCAGTGTGTCAACCATTAGCAAAGAAATGTCTCCCTGATGTGCCACAATGAGTTTTATTGATAAACTGATCAGATGCCGGTGTTAGACATCCGGTTCTGGATCAGACCTGCTCAGAGAAAAAAAAAATACCAGGGTTGAAATTCATTCTGAGCGAGGTAAAAAGAACAGTGTGTTTCTGCGTCACACTGATGCAGTTCTACACATGCTGTCCATTCACAGTCTTCAACTTTACTGTGGATGTTGAAGGGCACCTTGGCAGTACATGCTAAGGAAGAAGAATTCTCTGTCTACACACCTTTCGCAGGAGATTTACAACAGATCTCCCCCACTTGGTTTATCTCTCCCCATTTTAGCACAATTCTTGTCTGTACTGACCAAAATAATCCTGATGTCATTTCTAGAGTTGTACATATAACACACAATTCCTCACATTAGGCGGCTGTCAAAACCTAACAAACCCAATAAAATAAGAGGGAACAGATACACCTTTGAAGAATAAAATCCCAATTTGCTATTTTTAGTTTCCAATTGGAACATGATTATAAAATAAATCTTGGAAGGAGAATTGATAGGATTATATTTCTTCCAGCATTATCAGCACATGACAAAACATTGGAAAATAAATCATTCATGCAATTATAAATGTTAAATGGACTATTTATATAGCACTTTTTTTTGTCTTATCAACTTTCTTTCTTTCAGTGTTAACATACATAGCATCGAATGAAAAACAGAAACATACAGAAAAAACCAAACAAACCAATAAAAAGCTAGAAGGGCACTCAGTAGAGCGCATACTTCCACCAACAGCCCCGTTATGAAACCACATATAAATTCACTAGATCAGAAGTTTTATTCAGATCTGCACTATATTCCACACACTCATAAATATCAGTCTCTGAAACAAAATCCATGAATCATTCTCTGAGAAATCAAAGAAAATTTAGCAAATCTCACAGTATTAAAGAAAGTGAAGGGGAAAAAAACCCCGGCTCCGCCCCCTCACCCAGGTCAGCACCGAAATTGAATGAGCTATTCCCTGACCCACACCACATCGGTCCATCAAGTTTCGTGATTATCCGTCCGGTAGTTTTTGTGTCATCATGCTAAAAATCTGACAAAATGAAAACATAACTTTCTTGGCAGAGGTAAAATCAGCAGAAAGAGACGTCTACAGTCACATGAATACAATTTTGCTACCTACCTGACAAAAGTACCAGGTACACAAAGACTTTTTTCCACCCCATATAATTTTTTATCTAAGCATGAAAAAGTGAGGTTTGCTTTTTATAGTCTGAAGCCACATTCTGGATTTGCCAGTGGATTCACCTGAGCCTCTCACATGAAAGAGAAGAAACCCTGTGACCTCCCCCTGCTCTGGGCTCCCTTCCTGCAGCTCAGGCTGGTGGTGACACATGCAGTTAGTTATGTTTTCCCAGCTGGCACTGCGTACGTCAAAAGGGCATTTGGCCACCGGGGTGTGTGTTTCACTGTGAAGAGGAAAAACCCTCCGATTGGAAAAGTCAAGACTGTGTGTGTGTATGCAAAGGTGTGCGAAGTGATGGCTGCTCTGAGGTGGTCATCTGTGACCCTCCTCTGCACAAGTGGTGCCTGTCCCTGTGTATTTACACTGTGTGTGTGAAGTGATGGATGCTCTGCTGAGATCACCTGTACCTTTCTTCTACAAGAGCTCTGCCTGTGTGTGTGTGTGTGTGTGTGTGTGTGTGTGAATATGCATATGTGTGAATGACGGGTGCTCTAAGGTGGTCATCTGCGTCTTCCCTGTCAACCCCAGCTTGTGTCACCATCTGCTAAACTGCAGGCCAAGTGCCACTGAAGATGCCTGAGGATGAAAAAAAGGTGTGTAGAAGCTGTCAGAGGGAGGTGTTTACCCAGCGCAGAGGCTGACATACGAGTGAAAGATATAAACAGAGCTGGAGACGCAAATGAAAAGTGACATTGTGAGGCTTTGCACTTAGCATATTAATTGCAAAGCTGGTTGGAATATCTGTCTAGTGTGTAAAGAGGCATATAAAAAGGAAACAGTGTTTGAAATCTCAGTGGAGCGGAGAGGTTAAAAGCACTGTATGTTGAGTAATTCTCTGAATATCTGAGCAACTTGAGTTCTACATGGGAAAATGCACCCAGCATCAATTTTAAAATGCCCTTAAGGTCTGTCCCAGCATTCCTACATTAGAAATGGAGTGGTAGTGAATATATTAACAACTTTAAAATGCACCAAAACATGTTTCCCACAACTGTGTAGTAATGCAGACCCTCGTGAGGCTAAGCAAAACATATTTAAATACTTTAAACAGTGTGGATGTGATAGGGATTGATGTTTGCTCATTTTCAACCTTTCATGGCACAAGTCCACTCTGTGACTCTCCCTTGGAGCAAAAACAGCATGGGAGCAATTTGTTTTCCTTTTCCTTTCATTTTCAGCAGCAGGAGAAAGCGAGAAAACGCAGGAAAAACTTCCTCTTTTGGATGACATTTTATATTGAGGCAGTTTCCCTGAAGTTCACCATAAATGCATATTCTTGGTGTTGACTAAAACAAAATGCTCACAACATTTTTCAAATATCTGATGACCAAAGATAATAAAAGATTATCATTGATTTATACAAGTATAAAATGTCCATGTGGCAGTAATAAAATACAAAAAATCGAATGAAGAGGATAGAAGGATCTAGTTCAAAATGCAAAACATCTATTGCCAATGGCACAAAAAGTATCTGTCCTTGTCCAAACAGTCATTCAACTTGAGGATCAATGCCACTGTGTGTTTTGTGAGGAAAGTCTCACAGTGTAAGATTTCAGATTAAAGGACCATTGGGGTTTAATTAAAGGTCTTATGGGTTGGTATGTATGTTACAGTGGTTGTTTCTGAAACACTTTATTTTGTTTGTTGAAATCTTACGTCCTGGCAGACAACAATAAATAATGTCCATTAAGAAAAAGAAAAGAAAACTGAAGCTGTGTCTGTTGACTTGGCAGGACTGTCATGAATAAATAAGCATGCATTCACTGTGCATTCGGCTATCTTCAGCTGGAGAGACATATAACGCTGAAGCAGGAATGATGTAAGAAGTTAGCGAGTAAATCATAGAAAATTCCACTTCTAGCACGTTTGTAAGGCCGTAGCTTTGATGTAGGGCTGATGGGAGGTGATAGGATGTAATGTTTGCATATTTTAAAAGGGGAGCCTGCTCTTGCAATCATTACAAGGATTACCAACCCCAGCTTCAAAGGTACAGTGTGTAGAATTTAGTAACATCTAGTGGTGAAATTGCATGTTGCAGCTGAATGCCCCTCACCTCACCCTCCCCTTTGAAACATGAAAAAGAACCAGTGGTAGCTTCAGTTGTCATAAAAACTCAAAAGGTGTTTAGTTTGTCTAGTCTGAACTACTGTAAAAAACAGCCTCCATAGAGAGGTAAATATAAAGTATTTCAATATAAAGGTCCCATTCTAGGGTTAAGAAAACAGCAATTCATACAATTAAGATGACACATTAGTGAAAACATCACAAGGATTATTTTACATTCAGTTTCAGCCAATAGATCCCGTTCACCTAAATCTTACACACTAGACCTTTAATATACAGTCGACCTATCAAGCTACTTGCTGGAACGACCAATCTCTGTCCAAAGCAATGGTGCTAGAGACAACATGCAGCCGTCAGACTATCAGAAAGGATATAAATAAATCCTGGTGTTAGAATGTATTTTGGAGAAGAAAGCAAAGGCAAAAGGTCAAATTACCACCCAAACAGATATTGTAAACATCAATCACAGTCAGAGCCTGAATCTTCTGCTTCAACTTTGATCGTCTACTTGACCTAGATATGCGCAAACGGTTTTCCATGCAGTGATGGATTATTGCAGACAAATAATGTGCACTTCTCTAAATGAAGTGGTTTACACATTTCGGATAAACTGTTGGCTTGTTACAATCTGGCCGATCATCTAACTGCTCGTATTTGAAGCGAAGTTGATGTGTTCCCAGATCGCTAACAATTTTCTGAGCAAAGTCTACCAGAATGATTTCCAAAACCCAAAGCACGAGACCCCATCTAGTGATAAACAGGAACTTTCCTTCAGAAAATCTGTCCAGAAAAAAACATTATATTGCTCTCTTGAACCATATTGCACATTTGGCTTCACCACAATCACTGATGTCAAGGCACATACTTTGCCTTTGGCAGTGTCAAATGGACTGTGATTAGAAAATTGTTAGCCAAGTACAGATGGATGATCCATTCTCACACTTTCACATCCCTTTCAGCTCTCACTCTCGAACTGCCTTTCTCATATAAAGTTGTGCAGAAGGAGGAGGAGGCTGGCTGGAAA